CAGGAATCTCTCACTAAACAAACAAGAAGCAATGAAATTCATAGGAACAATCTAAAGTCATGCTCCCCTCAGAAAACTCCACTGCTATTGAAAAGAGATGCCAGGTTGAAATTCGTTCATGAACATAAGCATAAGGAAAAATCGTATTGGGAAAGAGTTTTATGGACATACGAAACCAAAACTGTTTGGACGTAATTCTAGAAATCATGTATGGTGGAAAGATGGTGATACCTTCAAACAAAAGAACACAGTTCCAGCAGTGAAATTTGGTGGTGGCAGCATCATGGTTTGGAGATGTTTTTCTGCAAAAGATACTGGCTTAAAGATTTTGGTTGAAAATCTTGAACTTCCTTCTGATAGGATCATTATCTTGTTGGAAGATCCAAAGTACACTGCAAAATCTACAAAGAAATGGCTTGCTGAAAATAATGTGAATATACTAAAATGGACAAGTCAGTCCCCACATTTAAACTCATTCGAGAATGTGTGATGTTATTTGAAAATTCAAATCCAATTGAGAGCTCCAACAAATATTCCAGATTTGAAGACCATATGTGAAGAAGAATGGAACAAAATAACAACTAAAATTTGCAAAACATTGAGAACTACAAGAGATTGATTGCTGTAGAAGTGAATAATGGCTATTCTACTAAGTATTAAATAAAGATTTTGTATTTTTTTTGCATTGTATGAATACTTTTTTCATCCAATAAAATGGATAAATGGGATTTGTGAATTAATTATACTATGTATAAATGATTAAGTACAAAAATGCTGATGAATTATTTACCAACAAAATGAACTTTGGAGAATTTTATACATGAAGTGTTGGATATTTTTTATGAGTACTAACATGTATGCATACATGCATTCACAGTGTTTTGTATATATGATCATTGATGTGGTTTTCTTGCCTACATCAATTATAATCTTAAATTATGAATTAATTTTATTTTCTTTATCTATAATTTTATTATTCTTATTATTTTTATTATTATCAACATATATTTATATGTTTGTGTGTATGGGTATCTAAATGTATATATATATATATGTGTGTGTGTGTGTGTGTGTGTGTGTATATATATATATATATATATATATGTATATATGTATGTATAATTATTTATATATTATATGCGCGGTACTTATTAGAAAGCGCTCAATATCAGAATCGCTAAAGCGTGAAACCCAGGGTCACAAACTCACATCTATCCAACCAAATATATATATATATATATATATATATATAAATAAAACCTTTGCATTTTTAAGTTTTTAGTTATTAAAATAGTCCACTACTTATCTATTTATTAATTTAATCAAAATTTGGGGCTGTTTGTTTTTTTTTGTTTTTTTAATGAATTCCTTTTTTCTTTTTTTTTTCTTTTTTAAATTGATGTTATTTCTTTATAGTGATGTCAAATGTTTCAATGATATTATTGATATTTTTATTATCATTATTATTATCAGTTTGTAATTGTGACAGTTAAAATGCAATGATGATGGTTTCAGTGCTTAAAATGACTAGACAATTTCAATGTATCTATTTTGAATATGACCACTCCTTTCCCCACCCTATTTCTTAACTTGTCAAGTCCCAGAAAAAAATATTTTCTGTGTCATCCTGTCAACTGGCTTTACTCTTTTTTTTTTCCCCTCTCTCAATCTCTTTTCCTTTCCTCTCCCCATGTCTATCTCTTTTTCTTTTTAAAAATAAACCTTATATTGAAATCTTTCTCCCCCTTTCTTTCCGCTTTTAACATTTTTCCTTTTCTGTCTCTCTCTCTCTCCTTTTTTTTTTCTTTTCCTTGTCTTTGAATAAATTGAACTCCATGTATTTTTGTAAAATTGGTCTGAAGAGATGGACGTCTGAATCCATGAAATAAATTATCACCTGACCGAATGGATTTTTAAGGATTCTGTATTCATTATTATATTGCTCTGTTCTTACATTGAGCTCTCTTTGGATTTATCCCTAGTAAACATCAAGTAATATTTTATATATATAAATATATATATATATATATATATATATATACTGAAAAAGAGAAAAAAAAAAAAAGAAATCTTGAATTGATACACAGGTGTGTGTGTTTGTTATATATATATATATATATATATATATATATATATATATAGTTTTGACACAAGGTTTATCTTGTCCAGGAAACTGTTATATTTAAAATAGCAAAGTGCTCAATACACAGTTAAAAGAATGGAAAGTGTAGAGCTAGTATATATATATATATATATATATATATATATATATATATATATATATATATATATATATATATATATGTAAGCAAATGTAAATGGATATAGATCCGACAGAATGAAAAATTTGGAAAAAACAAACAAAAATCCTTAAATGCAATTGTTGTTTAAAATGAATGAAATGTCAACGTCTGACGTTTCGGTTTAATTCATTGTCTTGAAAAAGGTTTATTAAACCGAAACGTCAGACGTCGACATTTCATTCATTTTAAACAACATAATTGCATTTAAGGATTTTTGTTTGTTTTTTCCAAATTTTTCTTCATATATATATATATATATATATATATGAGAGAGAGAGAAAGACACACACACACACATTTGGGAGTTTGTTCCATAGAACAGTGATTTACTCAAGTGGAACATCTCACTAATGGAATATGAATGGAATGAAGGTGGTTTGTTACAATGTGTGTAGCATGATTGATCCTAACCTTGTAGGTTAGAACTGGTGGAACTAAGGAATGTAGTTCATCTGAATACTTTCCATGGATATACCGATAGAATAGTGAGAAGCTTGCAACATTTCATCTCTGAGAAAGTGGTTGTAGGGTAGAAAATAATTTGTTACCTACAATGAGGCAGGAACTGGAAAGTGAAGACTGGATAGCTCCTGTCCATATATAGCAGCAGTACTCTATTTTATACCTGATCTTGTAAATGTAGAGGATAACAAGAGTTGCTGTGTATATACTAGAGCTGTACCATTTTTCCAGCATCTTTAGCAATGGATCATATACATCTTGAGGTTTGGGTTGATTTTAAGTCTTAATAGATGCTCTAGGCATGGGGCTTCCCTGAGAGAACATCTGTTCAGTGTGATTGGTGAGAATTCTGGGTCCTATTAGCAATGATGGAATGTCACTCACTAGTTTGGTTTTCAAGGTATTAAATGTGACCAGCCAGTCCCCCCCCTCCCATGGAGCTGCTATGGCTATGTTAGAGGAGAGATCAGCTACCAAGCTCTGGCAATCTAGAGTTTTGGAGGTGCAAATGATGATGTAAATTCTCTAAGGACTAGTGCTTATAACTAATAATAAGCACTACAAAAATGAATTTCTCAAAAGTGTCTGTTGTGGGGGAGGGGTAACAGATACACAAAAAAATTTATTTTTGCCAAGATTTTAAAAATAAACATTTCTAGAATGTTTCATTTGTGAAGAATTCCTGATATTTTTTTTAAATCCAATAAATATCTCATTTTTTTTGCAAGAATTTCCATATCAATGTGTTTTTCACTGCAAGAAGATGCTTAAATTTCTCATACAAATTTATGGTCACTTGCTTATGCAAGAAAAACAAAATTACCCAATCTTTGAAGGCTCTAAAAAGGATAAAAAAAATATAATTTAATAATCAAAAAATCCTTTGGTCTTTCCTCTTCTTAATAACAAAGATTTTGACAAAGCTTTGTTTTGGGGTATTTTTTTCCATCACATATGTTCATTTTTTAGCACATTTTTGGAGGTACCTACTTATGTTTCATCTCATTTAAGAATGAATAAATAATGACAGGACCTCCAAAGAGAAATGCTTACTGCTTCTTGCCTATTAGTGACAATAATTATCAGAGCTATTCTTAATTAATCTTATAGTGTACTAACTTGTCATAATTGTTATTTCTAGCAAACATATTTCCTCTTACCCTCCCAAAATATTAAAAAAGATATAAATTGTAAATAAATTTATCTATTATTATTCAATAACATTTAAGAAATTCCTTATAAATTATCCATTAAACAAGTGTCTATAAATTATCTTACAGCATATAAGGGTATGTGATGTTGAGAGAGATAAAAAAAAAAATGATACAACTTAAAATTAGTAGTAATTATCATAATAAAAGTAAAATATTTTTGAAAGCTGTTACTTTTTTTCTCATTTGTATACATCGCCATGAAACTGGTATAGGAGAAAATAAAAACGAGTTTCTCTCTCTTTCTCTGCCTCATCTCTTCCCATACTCTCTCTTTCTTATATATATATATATATATATATATATATATAAAGCACAGTAGTCAATTATTAGATCAGATTGAAAATAACATTCTCTTGCTCTACACAGCCATTGGGTTATCATCTTTCATTTGATACTACCATATTTTTATTTATTTTCCTAGCAATATCTGATTACAACAGCATAGATTCTTTTCATTTAGATTCCACAATATATGCTGATATAAATAGATTATATGCACAGTAATTATTACATAAGTGTTATGCAAAATACAATTTGACTTGAAAAATAAATCTTTTTTTTTTTTTTTTTTTTAACTTCTGTCTGTAATAGCCCACTTTGTACTGTTTGTAGATTGAAATATCAGCATTTGGGTTATAAAATGAGTATGTTTGTTAAACCACAACTTTGCATATATCTGAAATATGGAAAGGCATGAAGATTTGAGATGTGAGAATTGCTGACACATTGAGATTCTTTTTAAACTAACTTTGCTTCTATTCCTATTGTTTATTTTTTTAAATAATACGTAATCTGCATGCATATATATATATATATATATATATATATATATATTGTAATAACAAGCATTTTAAAGCTAAGTAAATAAGTTTTGCAACAACTTTTTTTAAAGTCATTCACTATGGATAGAATAAAGCAATACTTTTCAATGGGTGTAGTGTTGGGGAGGGGTCACATGAGATCAAAGGCCCTGATGTAATTGATGTGGGCTGGGGATAATGGTGTAGGCAAACTGAAAGTTATGATGCCTGTTAGTTTTTTCCCCTTCCTTCAACTTTCATTGCCTTAGTAACCATAGAAATATTAGGATTAAGTATTTCGCTTTAGTGCAAATTTTTAATTTGTTTAACAAATTATACAAAATGCAGTATATTTTCTTCACGCTTATATAAAAACCAAAGAAATCCTTGTTTGTTTGCTAACCAATGTGTTCTTTATTTGATGACCCTACTCTTAAACGCATAATTTCTTTTAAATACAAGATTCTGGAATGTGCAAAAAATAAAATTGATTACTCTGACTTTTTTAAGGGAAAATTTGAATTTTGTTGTAAATGAATTAATGATTATGAATGTAAAAAAAATTGTATTAGCATTTGGTAAAACTAATTTTGTTGTGTCTGTCATTCTGGCATTTTGAAATAAATTGATTTTGAATTATGAAATTTTGCTATTAATAGTTTTAGCATTTTATTGGTTAAATGTAGGTTTTAATTGTAATGAACAATTTGAAGTAGTGTAGGTACCACCACAGATTTTGCTAAAATGAAAATGAGCATACCATGATGAAAAATGCTCAACTTAATAAAACAAAGTTTTATCATCAAAATCTTTATTATTAAGAGGAAGTACCAAGGGATTTTTGATTATTAAATTATATTTTTTGATTCTTTTTAGAATGTACAAATTTTGGTTAAAAATTTTGTTTGTTCGCCCCCCCAATGAAAAACACATTTAGAAAATTTTGCAAATTTGTTTTGTAAAACAGGACCCCACCAAATTACCTGCTAATAATTTCCTCTGAATTATAAAATAAAAAAAAAAGCAATAAAAGTAAGATATAATTAGGAAAGTGTAGTCTTGCTAATATACAGATACAATAAAAAAAAAACTCTTTTCCTGTCTTTCTTCTTCTCCCTTTCTTTTCCTGTCTTTCTTCTTCTCCCTTTCTTTTCCTGTCTTTCCTCTTCTTCCTTTCTTTTCCTGTCTTTCCTCTTCTTCCTTTCTTTTCCTGTCTTTCCTCTTCTTCCTTTCTTTTCCTGTCTTTCCTCTTCTTCCTTTCTTTTCCTGTCTTTCCTCTTCTTCCTTTCTTTTTCCTGTCTTCCTTTCTTTTCCTCTTTTCTTCTTACTTTCTTTTCCTGTCTTTCCTCTTCTTCCTTTCTTTTCCTGTCTTTCCTCTTCTTCCTTTCTTTTCCTGTCTTTCCTCTTCTTCCTTTCTTTTCCTGTCTTTCCTCTTCTTCCTTTCTTTTCCTGTCTTTCCTCTTCTTCCTTTCTTTTCCTGTCTGTTCACTCACTGTTTGCAAAGGAAAAAAACTCCAATTGTTTGAGACATGAACTTCACCGGCCTCATGCCACAGGATCAATTGATTAACATGTTCACACTACGCACAACTCCCCTAGAGACAGTCAGGTCTACCTTTCTTGGCCAAATATTGCGTCCTCTCAACACCTATGTGGTGTATTTCATGCAATTTCTTGACACCCTCCTCCATCTTCGACATTACCCGACATATTCTTTGGTTGCACCAAGTGTCATTTTTATCCAAGCTTTCCTCACCCTTGTTAGCACATCAGCCTTATTAGCCTCTGAGGATACAAAGGCTGGCTCTAACCTTCTAAAGGGCCAAACTCTTTAATAATGTCCTCCAGAATTCCCCAATCTATGCTTTTTATGAGCATCTCTGCTGCTCCCTTAGTCCGTATCCTTCTCTCCTTCATAATAACTGACTCACTCCATGCCAACACTGTTGCCGATTCCATCTTCACCTTTGTGTTTTCTTCCTCAACCAAGCAGTGTCCACAACTTTGACACCCCCTACCTCCAATATAACTCCCATTGCTATGCTACTTGCATCATACTAAACTATGTCATCATCCACCTTTGGTATGTGCCATTTTCCTCTTACTGGATCCACTAAGCTCGGTTGTCCCATCTTATCTCCTTGGCCTTTCTTTTTTTTATATAGCTGCATGTAGAACAGGGTAGTGACCCACCAGCTTCCCACATGTTGAAAAACAATTCTTGTTTGCTCATCTTATCCATCACAGGTGGAATCTCATTACCTCTTCAGAACACCAACTCTTTAGTTCCTTTATCCTTCTACAACTTTAACCCAAGTGCTGCTCCCCAGTCAAGTGACTCTGCAAGTTTTGATATTAATCCATATTTTTTGAGGTGGCATCTTACCTTTTCTGCATGCACAACCATCTCATCCACCAGGATGCCATCAATATAGGAGTTTGTGGCCTGCCCTATTCTCTCCTCCTGTTTCAATATAGTCTTGAGCACTGCTGCCATGATTTTTGACACAATGGTTAACCCAAACCCCAATCTAGTAAGGCAATAAATGGTCCCCTCGTACTTTACAAGTTGGTACTGACACTGCTTCCTGCTACATGTAATTACAGGTATGCTGATTTCAGATCTACAATTGTAGCAGCATGCATCATCTGTCTCCACTCTTGCATGGTTTTTCCACATACATCAACATCATCACTTCCCATGTGGCATTATACGTATGTATTCAAATCCCTAAGGTCTAGTACTGGCCATTACTTTGTTTGGTTGGTTGACTGCCATCAGTGGCAATATTCCACTTTGAACTTCCTCCTTCCAAGGTACAACGATGCTTTCTTCAACCCATCTGTCCACCTCCTTTTCAAACTCCACTCTCTCCTCTTCTTGCATGGAATTCTCATATAAGCTCACCCTGTTCTTTAATATGGGTGGTCTGCTTGTCCAGCACTATCCAACAGCCCACTTTTCATCATCAAATTCAGCACAAAAATCCTTGTCCTGAACTTTTAGCTTAGTCTGTCCACCGCCTTGCGGTTGCAGAGTCGCTGCACATGGTATCTTACCAGATTTACTGGAGGTCGATCATTTGAGTCTGTCTGGGCTTCCAGTTTACCAAATTTAACCTGGTTTCGATTAATGGTGACTTCCCCACCCCCATTTTATCAGTCTTATCCATACCAATGGCATTGTCAATGCCGTCGACAATGTGCTTCAAAACAAGCACCCTTATCTTGAACTGCACCTCTTCTACCTATAATGTCACAGTGCTAGAGCCCTTACAGGCAACCTCTCTCTTGTCAACTGCTTTTATAAGCATTCCTCCACTGAAACTTCTCACCAACCAGTGAGTCACCAGGGTCATAGTGCATCCAGTATACACTAGTGCTCTTGCTTTCCTTCTCTCTAATGCAATTTTTACAATTGGTAAGGTTTTGGTGATCCATCGGGGTAGCTACTGGTGCAGTAACTCCCCCCTTGCCTGTTTTCCTAAGGACAAAATTTGACAATGTGTCCTATCTCTCCACATCTATAGCATGTCACAGCAGGTCTTGGTCGTTCTTACAATCTTTTATCATGTGCAGCCCACGACACCGAAACCATTGTCCAGTAAACCTTCTTGTCTGTTCCGTTCCAGGATCCTTAGTGGTCGGGCTTTGTGCCACAGCTCCTTTTCCAAGGGATTCTCCTTCTCTATTTATGGTTAGCACCCTGGTGGCAGTTATCAGCTCACTCATCTCTTTAATTTCTACTTGGGGCTGCAGTACTATAGGCATTTGGTCTGGGAATCTGTGCACAACTGCCAGCTTTACTATCCTCTCTGCACTCCTTCCCATGAATCCCACTAATTCTGCCAATTGCCTTATGTTGTTAGCATAAACATCAATGGATTTGCCAGTCCATTTGGATTTTACCAATTTTCCATATGCTACAAAAGGTACATCCATAAAGGCCTTGAGTAGCATCTCAGCATCTGTCATATCATTCATCTCTATATAGAAAGCCAATGCATCCCCCTCAAGGTACAGTGGGATCAGACTCATCAGGTCAGTGATATGTTGCAACCTAGCAACCAGTTTCACTTTCACATGCCATGCCACTATGTCTCCCCGTCCATCAAAGGGTCTGTATCATGTCACTGGCCACATGCATTCTCCCCGTCTCCTTCACTGGTGAAATGCCAAAATAGCTTACATACAGGAACAATTAAAAAAAAAAAAAAAAAAAAGTTTTTTTTTTTTTTTTTTCATCTTCATCCTTTCCTTTCCTGTCTGTTCACTCGTCAGCACCTGTTTGCAAAGGAAAAAAAAAACTCCTCACCCATCATTCTTACCAGCTTTTATGCAACCACCACTCACCCATAAATGCATTGGCACTTTCTTTTATAAATGTTACTCCTACCATTCTAGCTTTTTGCTTCCATTAGTAAGTTTTCACTTTCTCTCTCTCTCTCTCTCTTCTTTTTTTTTTTTTTTAACTGTATTTATGAATAAGATAGTCTAGACGCTATAGTCTTAAGAAAAAAAAATTCACTGGATAATGAATTTTTACAGCAAAGTATTTTGCTTATTGGAAATATTAAATCTTTTAGCTTTAAATTAAAACAGAAAGCTTTCCTTAGGTATCATGTTTCTGTGGAGGCATCTAACTTGATGTATAATTAATACTTTGATACATGTATTTCTTCTGAAAAATTTTAATTTTATTTCTAAAAATGAATCTGGTGTTTCTAAAATTGAGTAAATATCTGAATCCTATTATAAACATAATAAAGCTCCATGAAATCGTTCCATTCATGATGTCATTTATATGATATATTTAAATTTGAAATGTAACATTCCTAAAAAGTAATTTAATAGACACAAAATATCTTAGATTATCATTTGAATCTGTAAACTATTTGATGTGTGTATGTGTATTGTTATATTGAGTAGCCCTTTTTATGTGAATTTAAAAGACAATTTTTAGATATTTGTATGCAGATTTATTCAACCACTATGTACCATTTTGTTCCCCTATATTTCACCATCTTGGATGCAGCTTCATCATTCCATTAAATTGTGAGGCATCCAAACCATACTGATTAATGTATCCAAGTGTTTTCAAATGTTTTACACCCACCCATATGAGATATGTGGAGTATCTCTGTGATCTCCCATCTTATATGACCTTAGATTATTTTTAATCAGCACTTTGATTTGGTCCTTAGAATGTTCTTGATCTTTGAGATCAAAATTTCCCCCTTCTGAACAGTACTCTCAGCTATGACACTATCTTCATAAACAGCACATATCATTTGCTGTTTGTACAGTTTTTGTTTTCCTTTTTGGAAATAAAACAACAAATTAAAATGTTTCTCATTTTCCTACATTTTCACAATCCACATACAATATATATGTTGAAATATCACCTTTCAGAATATGTCATAAATTTCAGTTGAATGTAAAGTGAAATTTGAATTTGAGTAAATAAATGATATATTAAAAAGTATTAAGTTAAAATGAAAGCAAATCACTGACATTTTAAAAAGGGGAGATTATTAAATGTTCTTAAATTATCAAGCAATCTTGTAGCAGTGATTTACCTCGGCGACCCAAAAGGGCCAGAATCACATGTATATTTTGCAAGGGAGTGTGGAAACAGCAAATTGATGAGCTTCAGACAGACAGTGAATCAAACATCAAACTTTGTGCTGATGGAGGTGTTGCTTGTAGCCAATTTTATTGGGTGGTTCTGGGCGCCCATTGACTGAGTGTTGGCTGGGTCAAGTGTATAAAAACATAGTACTGGTCATTTAACAAGGGTTTCGTTTTTCGTTTGGGATGGTGATTGGCGTATTGGAGATCGAGGTAAGAAGTGTGGAGTTGTTTTGCCTAGTGAACCTATTGGATTTGTACTACCTCTCATTTCCTGTGTGCTTCCAACCAATTTTTGTAACAAATCTATAAATAGTTAAATTTTAAACATTATAGAAATTCTGGTTAACAATTTACAAGGAGAAAATTTTATATGAAAATTGTCTTTGTTTTTGAAATTTCCTGTTATAGATAAGTCAGAAAAATATTAGTATATTGTGGTAGAGGTTAGTAAAAAGAAAAATACGCAAATTTTCTTTCCTAATAATATATTATTGCTACTGTTTCTAAAATTGAATCTTTATTCTCAACAATTAAGTGCTGGAATAGTTTTCACTTTTGAACTTTGTGTATAGTGCTACTTTTCAGGATGGAGTGTATGTGGTGATGTGTATGGATTCAAGCTCTTGATAAAAATCAATAAAGAAGCAAATCTTTTTTAACAAAATATAGAATTTACTTTATAACTATAAAGTAAATTCTAGTTTGCAACTGTATTTGTGCAAGTTTGCACATCACTGTCAACTGAGCAGTTATTAACTTCTGTTAGGCATTTCCAAAGGGAGATGGGGTGGAAAAAGCCAAAAATATTATCACACACATACACACACACATATATATATATATATATATATATATAGTTTAGTTTTTCTATAACATTTCAGAGCTAATGCCTGCTGCTTTAGTTGGCCTGAAAATTTTGTGAAGTGAGTCGACAAGTGACTCTCCCTTCCCACAATGTTCTGCATCACTTTCTCTTTTGCACTCACCATTCATTCTTGCAACCCTTGCAACCTTCTTTCTCTCTTTTTCTTCATGTGCCAATGCTTACATCTGCCATTTTCTTCAGTGTCATACAAAAAGAGAAGAGCTACAAATCTTACTCTCCATGTCCTCCTATTTCTGAATGGTTGTGTTTATTACATCCCACATAGAATTTTCTTTTGCTTTTGATCTTACAGCTGATTCATCATTTTTATACCAGTTCTGTGATCCCACAGAAAAAGTGTGAAATTGATTGAATTCTCTGCCTGTTCATTCATCCCTTGGCTAATTCTGGCTATATAACAATCAAGTGGAATACAAAACTACCAAGATTTTTAGGAAGAAATTCCCCAACATGGGGGACTTGGGCTTTCAACTTTTGGGATGGCGCCCAGACCCTTTGATACAAATGGTAATTCATTCATTTGATCTTTTTCTTTTTTTCTTATATTTTCTTAAAAGCTACTTGTTTGAAGATTATGGAGATTACTTATTTTTTAATCTTATGAAAATACATACTTATATCTACATAAGCATGATTGCAGCACACTATTTAAAAGTTCTTTACAGAAGTAAGACTTTGTATATACAAATTTAGATTTGATTTCATGGGATTAAATGCAACATTTGTAATGAAATATACATATGAATGAAATTTTATTAATTGCCTAAAATGAATAAATTAGCTTATATTCATATCCTGTTCAGTATAATTAACATGATTATTATTTTCCATCTCATTTACCAAACTTAAAAAGATTAAGCAACAAGTGCCTAAATTATTTGGCCTGTTCCCCTTTTTTGCTTTCGGTTATATTGCAGGTTTAATACTAATCATTTACAACATATATCTAATGTTGGAAAATCAAAATAGTTTTGTCTTTATTTTCGTTTTTAACTTCATCATTGATTTTTTTTCTTTTTTTTCTTTTGGCTTTTTCAACTTTTCCTCTTTTGTCAAAATTTCATTTTATTTCTTTCCTATTATTTTTATTCTAATTTTTAATGTTTTTCAATTTCCTTCATTTTTCTTTTTCCTCTTTGTTTTTTGTCAAATTTTTTCTCTACCATTTCCTCTTAAAGGTTCCTTTCTTAAAATTTAAAATCAGCTTTCAAGTAAAAAATACACCATGGTTCTCCTTTAAAAATAATACATTATTTTACTTCCCTCCTTAACTAGATGTATTTGCCATGTTTGTACATTTACTCTTGAAATGCTCTTTTGGTGGTTCCATTTAAGAGATAGTCTTTGCCATTAAACTTTTTTTTTTCTAATGGTTAAAAACTAGTTTAATTATTTGGTTTTATATAATGCACAAATTACATATTTCATGCGACTACTGATTTGGAAATAATAGTGCTTCCAATAAAACTTGGCCACTCCAACAATACCTCACTATGCCTTACTTTATTAGATTTTTGTCACAGTGTGGAGGATACCAAATTGATAAACATGCAACTTCATTTTCTCTTCTATGGTGTGGATATTCCAAAATCAAATTGGCAATAAAAGGTTGATATTTTACTTGGATAAAAAATATATTTATTATCTAGCCATTCTTCTCAAATGCTTTTATATTTATCCAGCATACAGGAGTGCAATCTGTATTTTCCTCAAAAATGACCAATGAATGTGTAAAATAATAGCTAACTGAAGTTATCATTCAGACATTAGAAATGATAATAGTCAGAAAATGTTGATTAACAAACTTCCTGTATGCATTACATAAAAAATAGTAATTGTTTTCAGTCTTTTGAAAAGAAATGTTTATCCTTTGTTTCCTGTTTAGGATTAGGTTTCTGGTTCCTTCTAAATTCTTCTCATTCTCTTTCACTCCCAGTAACCCCTTGTGCTTTAGTGACATTATCTCCTTGCTTAGAGTGAAATAATAATTAAAAAAAAAAAAAAAACTCTATTGTGATACAGAAAAAGATTTTTTTTAATATACAGTTCAATTAAAGTGGGTCCCATTTTTTAATAGTCATTCCTTGGTGTATATTTTAAATCTTCTAAAAGTGCTTGTCTTTCTTTTTCAGTTTTTTGTTACTAAGAGTTTGACTAGACAATAAAGATAATTTTATTTCAGATTGAAATTAGATGCTTTAAAGTAGGTACCTCCACTATTTTGGTATAAATGTCGATACCTAAGATTTAAAATTAGTGAGTTTAAAAATTTCTCAAAAGTAAAATATATATTTGTGAAACTTCGAGAAATATTAGCTGATTTAAAGTTTAATTAAGCGAATTTAAAAAAATATTATTTACCTTAAGTTTTAAAATAACAATGAAATGGATTTTTAAAACAAAAATTAGCATGATTAAGTGCTTATCAACACCTCATAAATCACAAGGTGTTGACAGGTTCATTGTTGTTGTATGGTGACTTTATCTGTTAAAACATAATTTAAGAAAATGACTTAGTACCTTTTTTATATAATTTTTAAGTACTCGGTGATCTTAAAAATGTTGGAAAAAGTTCTCCATAATCTAATTTTAAGAACTCTGAATTTAAATTTACTATAGTCATCGCTTTTATTTTCTGATTATGTTGTGTATGGTTGACCATACTTTCAAACAGCAGCATGTTATGCATACATAAAAAAAAAAAATTATTAATTTTTAAAAATATTGGACTTCTAATGAGGTTTTCAATTTTTGATTCATAAATTTAGTTTTCACTTAATAACAATATTAACTAAACTCCTTGAATTAATGCAGGATTTCAAACAACTTAAATTATTTAATTAAAATTATAAAAAAAAAAATGAAAACAATTCTTGTAAAAATTAATTATTCATCAAAAAAATTTTTTTCTTAAGACAATGTCCTTAATAAATCTTATTTATAAAAGCAATTAAAAGATTTCTAATTAAATAATGTCATAGTTTTATTGCATTTTTTATTTTATGGTTCAGAACAGATTTTCATTAACTAGGGGTCCTGTTTAAAAAAAAAAAAAAAAAAAGTGTTCTGCTTTTAACTCATAAACAAATTTTCTCCCTGAAATTTAATTGAAAGTGGCGGTAACATATATAAAAAAAAAAAAAAAAAAAAAAAATTACCAAGATTTTCTAAAACAAAAGATTTCAAAAATAATTTAATTTGTGAAAGTCCTGAAAATTTCATTAAAATCTGACAATTATTTGATTTTTGCAAAAAGTTTCAAATCTTTTGGACACATTATTTGAGTAAAAGTGGAGGTACCTACTTTAAAGGTACACCAAATATGAATTTATTTGTACCTATCATTCTAGATATTTAAATATAAAAATTTAAATTCCTGTACTTATTAATCTACTGGATTGATATGAATAATCTTAGATTATCCTAAAAAAAAAAAAATTCAAAATTCTTTTCTCTAACCATACTTTTTACTCTCATGTTGAAATCGTGTTGTGAATGTCCAATGGATGCATATTTTTGTTGATCACTTTTCACTTTTAAATTATTCAACATTTTAATCAAAACTGAGATATAAAGATTATCTTACTTTCCAATTGAATCAAATATGTTAACTAGACACAAGAGACTTTTAGGGTGGATGCATTATTTAAATGCTTATTTGCCTCATTGACATTATAAAATAATAGATGTTACTATTTAACATATTCTTTTAATCATTTTCAAGCCACTTTTAAAAGCCTCAAACTATTAAATAATCAATGTAAAAAATTAAAATACAAATCATTGTATTATTTGATTGGTTATCCTCTCTGTTATTTCATGAACTAAACAGCAGGAATATTCTCCTTTCTAGTTTAAAAACTTATTAAAAAGACAAAAATGTTTTTTTTTTTTTGTTTTTTTTTTTTGTTAAATATTCTTTTATTTCTTTTTAGTTTTTCTGCAGGTTCCATCAAAGTTACAGAACAGTTCTGTCTATATTTATCAAATACAAAAGAATGTTTAATGCTTAAATAGTTGACAGGCAATTATGTTATTTATGAAAATTTTCTCTGATTATTTTTGCTTGATAGCAGGTTTTTATTTTGTCATTTGGATGTAATTATGTCAATTACTAATAGTTTTAGAATTTTATATATATATATATATATATATATATATATATATATAAATTATGAAATTAAATTTTCTACTTTTCCAAAGCCTACACTTAGCAATGATGAACTAAACTGTTTTATAACCAATTTTTTTCTCCATTTAGATTAGTAATAATAATAAAAACAAAATAAAATATAAAGTAACTGATTCTATTTTAATGATTGTGATCATGAAGTTGATAATTATAAATGCTTTAATTTGGAAATTAATTAATGAACTTTACTTTATACATTTAAGACACATTAAAATTAAAATCATTTAATGGCTATTGGAGTTGGGCATTTAGATTTACTTCAGCCATTTTTCATAGGACATAGTTAATCTCTTCTGTTATTCAACCATATAAGACAATTATGCAACATAATCCCCACTACACGCACTAGGCTACAGTTAATCTCACTTTCTCTTTTCCGAATTCATAAGTACATATGTAATTTTTCTTCAACAATTAAATGATTTTTAATTTAGAAGCAACCTTGCTATGTCACCTAATTGGGGGAATATGCTCATGAAATCAATGATGATAACAGAAAAAAAAATTTATCTATTGAGTACTTTATCATGTCTCAAATATAATAAGCAATTTTGATGCTATTCATTCATATATATATATATATATATATATATATATATATATATATATATATATTTTTTTTTTTTTTTTTTTTTGGTATCTCCCTATACAAAAAATGTAAAGCCACTAAAACAAAAGGGGGTTACAGTGTGTAAAAGAATTAGGAAAAGAAACATTAATAATGAGTGGAAAGAGAAAAGAGTAATCAGTAGGACAGTAGATATCGATTAACAATGCATTTAAATTTTTTCAGACTAAAGTTGGCTGGAAACCATGGAACTTGAAGGGAGTCCCACAAGTGAGAAGGGCAAGAGAAGAAACTGTTAGCATAGAATTTATGACTACATCAAGGCAGCTTAACTTTAAATTGATAAGATACAATGCCAGTCTAGTACTGCACTGAAACTCTAGGGGCCATAACAAAGAGCTCATCCAAACAATTACCATAAAAGTGTTTATAGAAAAGATATAGAGGCAGCCTTACCGTGGTGGGGTGACTGAAGCTGAGCTGCCAGATTAGGAACAATAATATTGCTGATTTTTCTTTGGATCTTATCAAGGACTCAAGGTAAATAGCAGGTTCACCAGACAATATCTGGCAGCAATATTCTAAGCATGAATGAATGGTTAGATAAGACAGATTCTGGAGAGAAAAATTGTCTTGTTCAATGCAGTGAACTGACTTAGCAGCTGACTTAGCAATGGATTCAATATAACCCTTCCACTTCATGTCAGGTTAGAATGTGAGCCTGAAAAGCCGCAATGAGTCCCTTTCCTGGAGATTAGCACTAGCCATGCTGATGGAGAGCAACAAGGAGTCTCTTAGATGATTAATGGAGAGAAGTTTAGTTTCGGAGGCATTAAAATTAACAAGCCATTTTTTCCCAAGTGAACAATGGACTTGAGATTGTTTTGGACATCAGCTGCCATTTTGATCTTGTTAGACTGATAAGCCTTACTATCAAGTCAGGAGTAAATAGTTGTCATTGGCATAGATACCAAGTCATCAGGGAGTTCATTACTTTACACCACCAAATTCTCTCTAGAATTGTTCCCCCTGCCACTGCATTTCTTTTTTTTCTTTCTTAGCACCTACTGTTTTTAAAATTGTTATAACTTTCTTTGTATTGTGTGTATAGATTTTATTTTTTGTATATACTAATAAAAGAATGGATGAATAATATTTTGATGTGATGCATTATGTAATGCATTAAGTTTTGCATGCATGTTTTGGCATTGAAAACAAAAAAATTGAAACACAAAATAAAATAAAAAACAAATTTATCATACTTTAGCTTTTATTACTCCTTGTGGAGTTATAGGGTGCAATAAGAAGCAAAATGGCTCTGAAGGCTTTAATTTTGTCAAAAGCAATGTCCTTCCTAGTATTTACATATGAGTAAACACCAGCATTTGTTTGCTCTTTCTTTCACCTGACTAGCATATTTATTTGTCTCATTGACAAAGTTATTTCATTGATTATAAATAGATGAAATAATTCACCTTCAGAAAAGCTATCAGGTACATCCATGAGGCCAGTAGTTTCTATAAAATTAGTTAGCCATGGATGATAGTAGCTGTTCAGCACCTAGTGGTCATCATAACTTTCCTTCCCATCACTAGCATCATTATTATCTCTTATCTCTGACCAACACATCATCAATATCCACTTGAGTAAATCCTTCAAAATGATCATCAGAGTCTGAATCAAAGAAGAACTCCTGAATAAAGGCTTTCTTGGATGTTGATGCAGCCATTTTTGTTTACAAAAAATTGTGACAAAATTAACATGGGTTTTAATCGATGTTACACCTTGTGTAGTGTAGAAGAATTCAAAATGGCATCAGAAAACAAGTTTAGTATCATTCCAATAGTAGGCTATTTCCAGCTTGAAATACCGAAAATAACAGTTGACAAGTGTAGCCGTCACACCAAAAAGAACCCGCTGGAACAGGGCAGTCGTCTCTCGTCGGCTACCTCTGCCCCCGACTCCCAAAGCTTTCAGACACACTCATTTTATAAACCATGACGAAGCCACCGATTTGTTGAGTGGGAGAGATTTACATATGCGTAGTTGCAATCTACCAATTCTCCCTTCCTCGGGCGTTTTCGGGCATGATGTTATGTATTTTGCTCATGACAATCATACTCCTCCCTGATCCGAGGATCACACAAATGGCAGTGCGGTGCAGATCACTTTATCCTGCTACTTCATCTCAGTGGAGTGGGCTCAGCTATTTCCTCACTTGTACTTTCCTCTGCCGTATCACTGAGTTGATCGAGTTTAAGGATACCACTTGCACTTTCCGTTGAAGTTGTCTTCCTGCATCTGCCCCTCATACACCATAGGGGTTTTTTTCATCTGAGCTAGTATCATGGCTGCTGGTAGTCTCCACCTCACGCACAGGGCAAAAATATTTTACATGGCTTAGTACTCCGTCTACAAGGACTGAATGAGGGCTATAGATTTTCGTCACTTTCCTCTTCTCAAATCTTGTTGTACACCGCCCATGCGGTCTCTTCACCCAAACAACATCTCTTGTAGTGTATGTTCCAGAACCTGCGACGTCAGCAGGTGGTGGTGTGGTATCAATGTCCTTCACGCAAGTGCTATAGGTATAAATTAAGTTGGCTGGCGCTGTTGAAGCAGTGATATCGTCCTGTGGTGTCACATTATGCCAGTATACTGCCTCCATATGAGAGCATTGTGTTCTTATGGTGATGAGCTTTATCATGCGGTGGGATCTTTCTACTATCCCATTCCCCAATGGTATGTGGGTGCATCCGTATCATATCTGGATGCCTCATTCCATTTCAAGTCTTGTGAATCTTTCCCTACAAAACACTGCTGCATTGTCAGCAAGCAGTTCAATCGGTGGTCCTCTTTCGAAAAAGATTGTCTCTAACTGCTGAATGATATTGGTGGAGTCTTGGCACTGCAATGGCCTCCAAATGGCAAACCAACTAGGACAACAGTCTAGGTAGTGCTGGCCCCTGAAATGGGTCACATCCATTCCCACACTGCTCCAATTGTCGTGAACATAAAGCCTCCCTGCCTGGCTTCCAATGCACCTGAACAGGATCTATGGATTGACATTCCCTAAAATCCCTGACTACCATCCAAACAGCCACTCTGGAAACTCTGGGGATGACCAATTTTGCAAAGTACAGTGTGTGCTTTACACTGGGGTGTCCACTAGACTGATGAATGGCTCATATACGAGCAGACTCCTCGCCTTCTGCAGCCACAGCGCACGTTCGTTCTACAGGTTCCATCTCTTTCTGAATATCATCCAGCCATCGCTGTGGCACTCTAGTGAGCTGATCACCCCGGTTATCATGGGACTTAACCAATGCCACGTCAATCTTCAGCACATATTCTGAGGCCAGATGTCGAAGTGTGCCGAGCAGGCGCCTGACCAGACTGGCAGTCTTGGTTTGTACCCTCAACTTTCTGGATAACGTGTCTGAGACCCAGCAATGCACACATGCCGAGTCTATCTTCAGGTGAATCACTTTTGCTTTCCACTGCAGTGCAAGGTTGATGCCCCGCTACACTGCATCTAGTTCTGCCAAGTTGATGTGCTTATCCTCACTCATTGGCTGCAGCCAACTAGCATATTCAGCAACGGCTCCACTGCTCTCAATGATGACACCAGTGGCTAATGAGCTCGCATCCACTCATACAGTGACGTCCTATCAACACACCAGTCCCCATGTGCTGGATCTGTTTGCACTACTCTGGCAAAAACGTCTGCCAACATCCAGCTCAGGAGGGGGTCTTGTACTTTATCGTCCCATCCAGTTGATATGGCATTTGCTTTGGACTCTGTTACAGCTTGGAAGCAATTTGTAGCATGCTGCTTGTGCCTGGGTGAGACTGTCGATGTCTTTTTGGCCGAATTGCGTAAACTTTCAATTCTGTTTGGTAGAATGACGGATAGAAGTCTGATGTGTGTGTTTATCACTGGGTTGCCAAAGCATGCCGTATACAAAGCATGTTTGATGCAGGTAAAGTCTTTCTTCTTTTCTTCGCTCAGCTGCTGGTATGCTGCATATGCACCACCCAATAGATGCATAGGACTACACATTCAATACACTTTACGCCGCTAAGCTGGCATATCAATTCTGCCTTCTCTATCCACTCAATAACTGACTGTCCAGAATCACTTCCATCAAATAGCAGTATCAGTTTAGGATCAAAAGCCATAATTGCCGAAAAAGCTTGTAGCTGTCACACCAAAAAGGACCCGCTGGAACAGGGCAGTCATCTCTCGTAGTCCTTGTTGGCTCCCTTGGCCCCTGACTCCCAAAGCCTTCAGACACACTCATTTTATAGACCATGATGAAGCTTCTGATTGGTTGAATGGGAGAGATTTACATATGCGTAGGTGCAATCTGCCAATTCTCCCTTCCTCCAACTGCTCTATGACACCATATGCATGCAATGCATGGGCATTTTCAGGCATGATGTTGCATATCTTTCTCACAGCAATCACATTTATAGCAACCCTCCCGAGGTGACAGAATGCGCCTAAAGCAGAAAAGGGAGAGAATTCTATGGTGACAATTTTTGCCTCCAGCTAGGTAAAGGTAATGAAAATTGAAAACAAAGTAGGACCAAGGATGGTGCCCTGGGAGGATACCTGTGTTAGTACGAAAGGATCTAGATGAGTGGCTATTCAGGAAAACTTTCATTTCACAATTTGACAGGAAAGACTGGATCAGAGACACTGTAACCTTTCAGCTTGTGGAGAAGAACTGAATGTCAGGCCTTGTCAAAGGCTTTAGAAATGTCCAATGCTACATCCTAGACTTCACTGTTTTTATCTAGACTCTTTCTGCAATTATCATCAATACATCATATATGCTTGTCTGGGTGGGAAAATAGAATTTTAAACAAGGTTAATGGATTAGCTTATGACTACAAGTATTTTGTGTATAATTATTAAAGACTTATTAAATGGCTTATTTATTTTAATTATGTTTTTTAATCTTTGGCAAAGGAACAAAAATCTTTTCAGAAACCTGGTGATACAATAATTCATTGAAAATGTTTTATCAATATACAAATGAAGTCATTGCTGGTGAAATTGTATCTTCAATTGATTCAGAACATCAAATAAATGAATGGATACATTGCATATTAATATACTACCAAGTATACATTTTCTTTTAACAAAATTTCAATAGGTGTAGATATGTTTGTCAATCATCCAGTTCACACTCCTCTCCAGTCTTTTGAACAGGTATAGAGGTTTATCCTTTTTCCCCTAGTGCCTTCTAAAGTCTTTTCATTCTCTTTCACTCTCAGTAGCCCCTTGCTTCTTAGTGATATTGTTTAGGGTATGTAACCCATACCTCCTCTTCCTCAGTTGCTAGCTTCACTAGCTTTGTTGCATAATAACAACCATATGGGCCATCTGGATTTCTTTTCCTTCCTTGGTTGGGGCCTGGTGTATTGTCTTAATACAGTTGATTTGGGTTTCCCAAAATCTTACAATATTAGGAGTGATGGTGAAGTTTAGTGTGGACCACTCTGTGTACATTGTATACTGTAGTTATGAAGGAATAATTCTCAAATTAGAGCCGTGGTAACTTTTGTCTCCTTGTATCTAAGGGCAATGTCAGGCTAGAATAAGAATTCCTTCAATAAAATGCTCAACATTCTTGATAACTCTGACAACAGGCTTATTGAATATAAAGAAAAACTGGTTGAATAAAATGTCTCTATTATTTAACGCAAAACCAAGTTCTCTACTGCCAGATGGTGATTTGAGAAATCTAGTAGCAAATGCTAAAGTAATAACCAACTAGTTGTCTCTCACTGAATTCTTCTGTTATGCATGTATCTGTGTTTTTGCTCCAGCTACAGGAATTACGGGTGTGTTCTTTAGTGACAACTGTCTTATGAAACAATCCTAGGCAGCTCCATCCAAACTTCTTCCTGGGTTCAGCCCCATTTGTGTGTCCTTGGGCCTTGTGAGCTCTCTAGACAACTACTCAGCTCCCAAATTTGACATTGATATATCCAATTTCTCCACCCAACTGTCTTAATCTTAGGAAGTCTGTTAATAACAACATGGCTTTCTTATTTGTTTTTAGAATTTCCTGTTTTCTCTTTCTGTAAAGGAAATGTTTTGGAGCAAACTGCATCAACACAAACAAATCCTTAAGCTTGGCAATTAACAAAAAAAAAACAAAAAAAACATGCTTTCTTTGTTTAAAAGAATTTGGATCATTCTTTTCTGTAAAAGCATACACTTTTTGTACAGAGAGCATAATGCAAACACACCCACTGAAATTTAATTTCTCAGGACCAAGGAAATTTGGACAGCAGGCTGTTTAATCTTGCACGCCTCAAGTCAAAAACAAAAGTATGGAAGGCTCTGATCAGAGACATGCTGTTTGTGGATGATGCTGCAGTCACAACCCACACACAAGAGGAGCTCCAGACTTTGATGAATCACTTCTCTGAGGCCTTCAGTGACTTTGGGCTATCAGCCTGAAAAAGATAAATATCCTAGGACAGTATATACATGTGCCATCAATCATCACCATTGACAACTACAAGCTCAAAGTTGTGAACCAGTTCACATACCTCTGGTCTACAATAAGCAGTGACCTCACCATGAACACAGAAATAGACAAGTGGTTTGGGAAAGTAGCAACCACATTCTCTCACCTCAACACACGAGTGTGGGAGAATTCCAAGCTCTCTTGTCAAGACAAAAATGGCAGTCTACAATGCCTGCATCATAAGCACACATCCCTATGGAAGCAAGCAATGGACGACATATGACAAACAGGAGAAGAGACTGAACATTTTTCACTTGAGGTGTATCTGCCACATTTTGAGCATATTGTAGAAGGACAAAATGCCCAATACTGGTTCTGTCTCACGCCAGCCTAACAACCATGTTCACTCTGCTCAGACAGCGCAGGCTCCGATGGCTGGGTCATATTTATTGTATGGAGGATGGACAAATTCCCAAAAACATCTGCCACAGGGAACTTGCAAATGGCAAAAAGACACCAGTCGCCCTCAGTTGCGCCACAGAGATGTCTGTATGAGGGATATGAAGGCTCTTGAGATCAAAAGTGACCTTGCTGTTGACTGTTCTGGGTGGAAAAGCACCCTGAATAAACAACTAATGTCATGAGAGAAGAAACTGAACAACATAGCAGAAGACAAACAGACCAGCAGTAAAGAACGCTGCAGCATAGTCACAGGTGTGACTTGTGTGAGAGACACTGCCACTCACACGTTGGCCTGTTCAGCCACATGTGGTGATGTTCCAGAGGATCAAATGGGTGGGATCAAATCCATGGTCATTGATGACTGGCAGAGGCCTTGTGTGTTGTGTTGGTTAGTATGTAACTATTGTATCCTGATAATGTACTTTTAAAGCTTGTGAGATTTTATTCATAGTTTCATCTTGCACAATAATTTTTGCCTTGATAAGTTTTATGCTGTTTTCCTCTATTCTTTTTTATTTTTCTTAAATTAGTCATATTATTTTCTGCTAAAATCTATGAGGGTAAGCAAAAGAAATAAGCAAACTAGCTGAAAAAAATCAATTTAATTTTGATTAATTTATAATTATTTGAAAATGTAATCTCGGGTGTAGTATCTTTGGTTTTATATATGCAACTATATGTAAGTTATCACATTCACATTGTCTTAATATAAGAGGAGATACAGATCTGAATGCATGGTGATACTGAAAATAGAACATGAGGCAGTGCTACAGGAAAAGTAGTGTTAAATTATATATTTAGGGGAACTAAAAGTTGTAATCAGTTTTTCATATGGCTCTGATTAGCATAAAATAAAGCCTTAACCTGGTGTGGGATGAAGGAATACTATATCAAAATTCTTTCATCAGAATATTTGCAATGTCTTCAGTGAGGAACTTGTTTGTTGCACATAATTTTCTTCTATATCTGAAAATAGGTGGATCTTATCAAAGTAATCTTTTCTACTGTTCTACTGTCCTTATTGTATGAACTAACATTTCTCTAGTAATACTCTGCTTTCATTCATTACTTGATAAACCATTAAAAAGTCAAATTAAAAACTTCAAAGCTTATTTGTTTGGGCCATAGAACATGAGAAATTTGCAGCATATGAAAATATTTACAATCAAGTGACTCGTAACTTGCATACCCTATTTTCAATGTTATATATTTCAACATTAAAGTACTTTCAGGAATAGCATCTGATCATTAAGGACTGTAGTGTAAGTTGTTGTATTCACATTAATACAGTATGACTGGAGATGCAGCTATGAATGCATAATGATGCTGAAAATAGGGTGTGCAAGTTATGAATCAAATATTCAATGCAATCTTATAAACCTTAAAAGTATATCATCAGATTAAAATTGTTGGATACATACCAATTATGGATTGTTAATTTTTTTTTTTAAATAAATATCAATGGTTTCATTTAAAATTTCTTTTTATTACAGAATTGTTTTGTTTTTTGTTTTTGTTTATTTTTTCACTTATCAAGCTGACACAAAAGAACAAAAGTTTGTAGCATTTTTTTTTTCTCCAACAGATGTTTGAACATGTGATTTCATTCATGTGACTGAATTTATGATATATTCTGAAAGGTGACATTTCTATAGATTCTTTGTGGAATGTAAATTTTAAATGTCTTTATGTTAAAAGTAAAAATAGAAGAAAATAAGATGAATTTTCATCACTTGATGCTTTTTTTATTTTCAGAAAGTAAAAAAATAAAATAACACTGTACAAACAAGAAAAAATGGCATTTATCCAGATGGTGCTTATCACTGTAATTTATTTGAACTTGATTGAAAGAAAATATAAACAAAGCTTCCATTGATTTGTCATTTTTTGATAACCATTTTAAAAAGATTTCCGATTTGTATAATAGTTTTGTTCTTGAATTTGCTTTGTTTCTTAAACATGATGAGCTTTCAGCTGTAAATCTCGGCAGCAAATTGTTAACAGATTCTCATCACTAAAATTAGAAATTTCTTTCTGGTTTATTTAGCAAAACCACCAAAGGTTATGAACACACTGTGCCACAAACATGTCTTTCAGTTATTTTTTTTATGTGCAGAAATCATTGTTTTAGACTAATTTTCTAATCTTTGTTTAATGAATAATTCTCTAGTTAGATCAATTGAGGATGACAGAGATAAAATGAAAACATTACTTGATAATCAGTGTTATATGACACTGAAAATATCTAACTCTAGAATTGAAAATCACTTAGGCATGTTTGATGTATGTCATCTGAGTAAATGTAAAATAATATAACTGGAATGTATTTAATTTAAATATTCAATTTTTAAAACAAATTGTGAAAAGTAAATGCAATGTGAAATGCAAAAGGTCATTTCTACTTTTAAGATCAGGTGGGGGCAAAAAACTTTGTATAAAAAAGTTGAATACTGTGCTGTACTATATTTTTGGCAAAAGTAAAACTGGTTTAAATTCAAGTATTGATTTATTGCATATGATTAATACTTCTTGCAAGCTTAAAA